TATATATATTTATAGACGTTTGAAAAAGCAGAATAAAGCCTTAGCCTCACTGCATGCAGTTATCCAAGCCTTGTTGCTAAATAATTCAATAGTCAGTTGCTATCTCTAAAAGACGACTGTGACATCAGCGCTGTGGTGGGAGGTGGTGTGCAAATAAAGTCACTGGGTGAGTGGGGTGTCGCCCCCCCCCCCTAAATTGTAGGCGACCACAGACAGTCCCACAGATGGCGAAACTCTGGCTGTAGTGCCGTCCACAACGCCTGGCACACCTGACACTATCCCAGACACCGTGCAGGACGCTAGTTTGTAGCTCTGTGCGACGGTCTGTTGGTTTGCACCCAAAGCCAAAACACACAGTGCCATGGCTAGTCTTTTGGGAACTCTCACGGATAAGCTGTGTTGTCTGGCGTATTATGAGGGGGGGAAGACTGCGAACAAGCTTGTGTCAAACCGACACACTGACACCCACAATCCTAGCTAGTTCGTGATTGTCCCTCTGGCGTTGTGGCGTGGAATAACATACCCCAAACCACGCTTTAATATTGGGCATAAATAAAAATCTTCGTCATACCTGTGACCGGCTAACTGTGACATACTGCTGCGGGAGGACAACCAGCCCTTTAGTCTGGTTTTGTGGCATGTTGTGATCATGGTTTTGATCCAGTTCTTTGACCATAGATCTTCTGTCAGGGTCTCATCTGGTCCAGTACGGGACTGAAAGCCGCTCATCAGGAGTGGTTCTGGGACCATCAGAAATTAGGTAAAGAATCAGGATCTGCAGCCATCAGAGGCCAAAGTGATGGAGTCCAGGGGCCCCTCCAAAGAGCTCGGATCTTATCTGAGCCCTGAGTTTAGTTTGGTGTTTAGTGACGGGAAGCAGGAGGGCCCGGTTCTGACCTGTGTGGGTTTCTTCCTGCAGCTACCCTGCCGTCTGCGACTTCCTGATGAACAACAACCTGCTGTCTGTAATACGCGCTCATGAGGCCCAGGATGCAGGGTGAGTACGGCCGCCTGCAGCTTTTGGCTGGATCCTATAGATCCTCCATGTGGAAGAAAACCAGACGTGTCCCTGAAACGTCTCTATCGTCTTTGTCCAACAGCTACCGAATGTACAGGAAGAGTCAGACGACAGGCTTCCCATCTCTGATCACCATCTTCTCTGCTCCCAACTACCTAGATGTGTACAATAATAAAGGTAGGAGGGTGCATCAGGGAAACCATGGAGATGGGCTAGAGACCTTGGAGATGTTGACATGTTTGTGTCCTCAGCTGCGGTGCTGAAATATGAGAACAATGTGATGAACATCCGTCAGTTCAACTGCTCTCCTCACCCCTACTGGCTGCCAAACTTCATGGACGTCTTCACCTGGTCCCTGCCCTTCGTCGGGGAGAAAGGTCCGTGGCCGCCTTCACTCACACATGCAGACATAGATTTACTGAACCTAGAGCTGCTATTACCAACACATTCTGTCACATCTCATGAATCCATCCATCATCTTCCACTTATCCGGGGTCGGGTGGCGGGGGTAGCAGCTTCACTGGTCCTCACCAAGTATGTTCTTAAGAAAAACACAGGAAAGTGTGAAGAACAGGAGCATTCAGCATAAATCTGGGTCAACTGGAACAGAAGCGTACTGATGACATCACCACACACTCAGCTCCTCTGGAGCTGCATTTCACCTCCTGTTATTTATAGTCTCTATATCAGGGCTGGGCATCCCCAGTCCTTGAGGGCCGGTTTCCTGCAACATTTAGATTCATCCTTGGTAAAACACACCTGAATCCAATGGTTTAATTACTTCCCCACTATGCAATCAATTTCTCCTTTTCATTATCTATTTACTTGATTCAGGTGTGTAAAGTCATGGACATATCTAAAAGTTCCAGGATACAGGCCCTCCAGGACTGGAGTTGCCCACCCCTGCTCTAGATAATAATAGATTTTTACTTTTTTCATTTAGTTGGGGAATAATAATGAACACAGTCAGATAAACACAAATCTAACATTTTGCCAAATAAAACAAAAAAAAATCTCTATCGGAGCCAGCGGTACTTCAAACATGGCTGCGCCGAGAGAGGGCTGCTGCGGACGGGCTAATGTTAGCACTGGCCGCTGCGGACGGGCTGACTTTGTCCCTGGCCGCCGCGGACGGGCTGACGTTAGCCCTGGCCGCCGCGGACGGGCT